ATTCTGAAATACTTTTAGTTTTATGTTCTTCAGTACCATACTTTCAGTTAGAGAGTATTTTTGTGCTAAGAAATATAGTCCGATGTGGGTTCATATTTTGAGGAATATTAAGAAAATGAGAAGGGCCAGTCTTGTGCAACTGATTAAACTGCCACTGGACAGGCAATGTCAGCATTTCCCGCACCAGAGCACTGGTTTGAGTCCCTGCTGCTCCACTTCCCATCCAGCTTCCTGCTAATGGCCTGGGAAAGCAGCAGAGGACGGCCCAAGTCCTTGCGCCCCTGCTCCCATATGGGAGACCCAGAAGAAGCTCCTGGCTCCTGGCTTTGGATCTGCCCAGTTCCAGCCATTGTAGCTATTTGGGGAGTGAACTGGAGGATGGAAAATCTCTGTCTCTCCCGCCCCGCAACTGTGCCCATCGAATTATTTTTTAAAGTATTATTTTAAACTGATTTTGTGTATGGAAATGTTGGTTATATGAGTGCTTGGGCCCCTGCACCCACCTGGATGGGGTTCCTGGCTTCTGGCTTTGTCCTCGCCCAGCCCTGGCTGTTGGAGCCATTTGGGGAGTGAATCAGAGGATGGAAGAATTATTCTCTTTCTCCCTCCCTCCCTCCCTCTTTCTTCCCTACTCCACCCCCCTCTCTTTCAGATAAGTAAATAATTTTAAAATTTATTGGTTTAATAAATTTTATGTATTTTATGTTGCTATCAATCCAAAATATGAATTGATGTGCTTTTAAAAATCATCTCAGGGGGCCAGCACTGTGGCGTAATGAATAAAGCCGCCACCTGCAGTGCCGGAATCCCATATGGGTGCTGGTTCAAGTCCAGTTGCTCCGCTTCTGATCCAGCTCTCTGCTATGGCCTGGGAAAGCAGTAGAAGATGGCCCAAGTGCTTGGGTCTCTGCACCTGTGTGGGAGACCCAGAGGAAGCTCCTGGCTTCAGATCAGCTCAGCTCTGGCCATTGCGGCCAATTGGGGAGTGAACCATCAGATGAAAGACCTCTCTCTGCCTCTCCTTCTCTCTCTATTTAACTCTGACTTTCAAATAAATAAATATAATCTTTTAAAAAAAAGAATAAAATAAATAAAAATCATTTCATTTGTTATAATGCAATGTATTTTTTTTTTTTTTTGACAGGCAGAGTTAGACAGTGAGAGAGAGAGAGAGAGAGAAAAGTCTTCCTTCCATTGGTTCACCCCCAAATGGCTGCTATGGCTGGCGCACTGAGCTGATCCAGAGCCAGGAACCAGGTGCTTCCTCCTGGTCTCCCATGCAGGTGCAGGGCCCAAGCACTTGGGCCATCCTCCACTGCACTCCCTGGCCACAGCAGAGAGCTGGCCTGGAAGAGGGGCAACCGGGACAGAATCCGGCACCCCGACCGGGACTAAAACCCAGTGTGCTGGCGCCGCAGGCGGAGGATTAGCCTAGTGAGCCACGGCGCCGGCCTATAATGCAATGTAATAAGTGGCTTAAACAGTCAGTTATTTGTGAGCTGAAAGTGTGACCAAATGCAGGGCATTCCTGCATTTGGATAAATTTGCATGCATACGTTGAATTCATATGTTCAGCTTGGGGAATAATTAAATAAGATTCGCAAATAAGATCCAGAAATAATAGGTAATGTATTAGGAATCAGGATCATGGCTTTCCTGCATTTAGCACATCTATAGAAAATAAAAATGTGTTGGTAACAGTGAATGCGTGCAGCAGGCGAAAGCAGGTGTGAGGCCGTGCACACCTCTCCCCTGCGCCAGGCCCAGCGCTGTGAGCGGCTCCTTCCACTCTTTTTTTTTTTTTTTTTTTTTTGACAGGCAGAGTTAGACAGTGAGAGAGAGACAGAGAGAAAGGTCTTCCTTTGCCTTTGGTTCACCCTCCAATGGCCGCCGCGGCCGGTGCACCGCGCTGATCCGAAGGCAGGAGCCAGGTGCTTCTCCTGGTCTTCCATGGGGTGCAGGGCCCAAGCACCTGGGCCATCCTCCACTGCACTCCCTGGCCACAGCAGAGAGCTGGCCTGGAAGAGGGACAACCGGGACAGAATCCGGCACCCCGACCAGGACTAGAACCCGGTGTGCCAGCGCCGCAAGGCAGAGGATTATCCTAGTGAGCCGCGGCACCGGCAGCCTTCCACTCTTCCTATCCTTATTCCAGTGGCTGGTGGTTCCATCAGTCATAGCTCTGTCAGTCTTGAGATCTGGGAGCAGTCCCGCCCCAGTTCTCGTCCTCCTTCTGGAAGTATCAACTCCTCTTGGGTACTTGCTAGCCTCCCTGAGTGCTAGGCTGCTAGGATTTTGAACTTACAGATGAATTTGAGAGGAACGGGTGCTTCGATAACAGCTGGTCTTCCTATCCAGAATCTCTTCATTGATTTGGCTTTGGTGCTGTGGCCCTTCAGTCTCCAGTGGCCCTGAACTATCTTGGAGTTTTTCTCCACAATTATAACTTTCTCCTTCAGTGGTGATTTTGATCAATCTCTACCCTTGTCTGGAAAATGAGCAGCCTTCAAGTCTCAGCTGGAGTGCCACCTCCTCCAGGAAGCTTTCCTCCCTTTTTTTTTTTTTTTTAAGATTTATTTATTTGAGAGGCAGAGAGAGAAAGAGTGATTGATTGATTGATTTCCATCCACTGGTTCACTCCTCAAATGGCTGCAATGTCCAGAGCTGGGCCAATCCAAAGCTAGGAGTCAGGATCATTTTCCAGGTCTCTCACATATGGACAGGGCCCAAGGACTTGGGCCATCTTCCACTGCTTTCCCAGGCCATAGCAGAGAGCTGGACTCGAACCGGCGCCCATATGGGATGCCGACCTCACAGGTGAGGGCTTTACCCGCCGCGCCCCAGTGCGGGCCCCCTCCATCGCTCTAGGCAGTTTTAAGAGATTGAAGAGTCTCTACCAGCAGGTGTATTTTGCATATAATTGCAGGAGCAAATATGTACCAGTGGCCGATTATGTCCCGGAGCCCTGAACGTTAACTCAAAGTCTTCACAAACAACCTCTGGAAAGCAAAGCCGGTGTTGCGCTCTCGGCTCCAAGAGGGTGGCTTGTTGTGGGCATGCAGCCAGGATCCGTGTGCAGGCTCTGTGTGACACCCCCTCTGCAGCAGTGTGTCCTGTCCTGAGGGGTCTCCGTCACACATCCCGGAGAAAACATTTTGAGTGCACACCCTGGGCCAGGCCCAGTCAAAGGCGTTGGCTGCCCTGAGAGGTAGCAGGTGGTGGTTCAAGAGGTTGGGTCTCTGCCATCTACGTAAGAGACCTGCATTGAGTTCCTTGCAGGAGCTGGCCCAGCCACAGGTATTTCTGGTATTTAAGTGAAACAGCAGATGAGAGCTCGCTCGCTCACTCTCTCTCTCTCTGCCTCTCAGATAAGGAAATTTATTTTATAAAATGGAACAATGCTGGCTGTGCACATGACAAGTAAATCAGACATGAATAGAAACCACAGCAGTGAATGTCGGCACAAGCTGGGCTAAGCACCACGAGAGGACGAGGAAGTGGGGACAGCGGGAAAGCCGGGGTCACCCGGATAAGCATTACGGAGGAGATCAGGTGAGCGGTGGCAGGAGGGCTTGGGAGGGGTGCGTGTTTGCCTGGGCATGGGTTACAGGAAGAGACTCTGAACCTGATCAGGCTGCGTTGAGTCTGAGGACCTGAGACACGCCCAGGCAGCGAAAGCCTGGACTTCCCAGTTATCTCTGGGTAGCTTGGGGGATTGGTTCCAGGACCCTGGCCATCCTCCTTATACCTTAAATCCTCTTGGGGCCGGCATTGTGGCATAGCGGGTGAAGCTGCTGGCTGTGAGGCCGGCATCCATCATGTCGAGTCCCGGCTGCTCCACTTCCAACCCAGCTCCCTGCTGATGTGCCTGGAAAGGCAGCGAGGGTGGCCCAAGTCCTTGAGCCGCTGCACCCATGGGACAGACCTGGAAGAGGCGCCTGGCTTTGACAGCTGTTGCAGCCATTTGGGGAGTGAACCGGCAGATGGAAGATTCTCTCTTTCTGCCTTTCCTTTGAATAAATCTTAAATAAATAATAAAAATCATTTCTAGTTGACTTACATCCAGTGCTCTGTAAACAGCTGGCACACTACGTTGTTTAGGGAGTAACGACAAGGAGAAAAGGCCTGGAATTGTTCCGGAAGTAACCTTTGCAGGGGCCGATGGCGGGGTCCGTGGCCAAGGAACCCGAGCAAGGCGTCACCAGACTGCTTGGAATGGGGGTGCAGGAGGAGCACAGTGAGCGCCCAGGAGCAGGCAGAAGAGAGAAGGCTTGGAGGTGCTAGGGTCTCCCCGTGCTCCGCAAGGCTGTGTGCTCACGGGGCTGAGGGAAAGAAAGACCTGCAGGGCAGCCTAGGTTATGTCCTCGCCTCTCCAGACCCCAGCTACCCTCTGGGAGGGGTGGGCGCCTCCAGGGGGCCCTGCCGGGTCTGCTGGAGGGCGAGAGCCGCCCAGGCCACAGAGCACCGTGTCAGTGTCGCCGGGGAGCCCCCAGGGCTTCACTGGCTGCGACAGCACACGCGGGGAGGGAGTTGGGGGGACAGGAGGGACGCAGAGCAGGAAGCCAGAGGAGGCTGGGAGCGCGGGACCCTCCGGGCACGAGGTGGGGGCGAGGACAGGGATTGGGGCGGGAGACCCAGAGACTGCTGGAGGTGTCCATCGGCGGCCCCTCCAGGGTCCGGGGAAGAGCAGGTGCGGACGCGGGAGGGTTGCGCACGCAGAGCGGGCAGAGGGAAAGACAGCTACGCCCGCTCAGCTGCCCCAGGGCGGCCCAGGGCACCGAGAGGCTGGAGGCGCCAGGATCCCCAACGCCGCTGCGCTCCGCCAACGCCTTCAGCCACCACCACCGGGCGGCAAAGCCTGAGGTGGGCGGCCCCACAGACCCGAGGGGTAGCCCCGCCCCGTGGCCGCCAGGACTGGCCCCACGGTGGGGGGGGGCGGAGTTGTCACCGCCCCCACTCCCGGGGGCGGGGGGAGGGGGCAGTCCGTCCCTTCTTAAGCCCGCGGAGCCTCCAGCCACCCCTCACTCGTCTCTCCCGCCAGGCTCCCACCCGCACGATGGCCTCGGCGATGAGCTATGTCTCCAAGTTCAAGTCCTTCGTGATCTTGTTCGTCACCCCGCTCCTGCTGCTGCCACTCATCATTCTGATGCCCGCCAAGGTCAGTTGTGTCTCCGGGCAGCCCCGAAGAACTCGGGTGCCCCATGCCCAGGACAGTGAGCCCGCGAGTACCGAACCAGAGCGCACGAACCCCCACCCGGGGCAGGGACAGCTCCCTGGGGGGCGCGCATTCAGGTGCCAGATGGGAGGTGTCCTGCGAAGCATCCAGAGGGACGCAGAGACCCTAGCGTGCACAGACGCTGCGGTTCACAGGTCCGGGGTGCAGGAACCGGCTGGGCAAGCACAGAGACCCAGAAGTGAGCACGGGTTCCAGTCACACAGACGCCCCCAGCTGCAGGCTCGGCCCCTGGCCCAGGATCCCCCACCCCCTCCCCCCGACTGCATCACTGCCAGGCTCCCACACAGAGCTCCCCAGGCCGGCAGGGCGCTGGTTCTCCCTTTTTGCCTCTCTGGTCTCTGCCCCCAGCTGGTGGCGACTTTGGCTCCAGGTGGCTTCTGTTAGGCAGAGACCTACAGGAGAGGATCCTCACCTACCTGGATCCCGAGGGCTGCCTTTGCCACTCCTGAGACCTTCCATGGGCTGCAGGCTGTTTCTACAGGGCTGCAGTTTCTCTCCAGTTCTGCACCACCCAGTGCCTCCTCTGAGCCTAAATGGTGTTCCAGGCTGGAAGGCAGGCTCGCCCGCTGTGGCCGGGAGGCGGGACACGTTCCCAGAGCTCACGCCTTGGGTGGCAGGACCCTGGTTTGCAGGGAAGCTGCGTCCCATGGCCTGGCCGCCTAGCTGCTCCTGGGAGGGAAGGGAGAATGAATGGCCTTGGCCACAGGGCGGGGGCGGGGCGGGCACCCTGGCCCAGACTCCGCCAGGCTGTGCACAGCCAGTTTGGCAGAGGCCCTAGCCCTCTGGAGCCTTTTGTGGCTGCTCCTTCCTCGTTCCCGCTTCAGCCTTTTCACTCTCAGCCCAGACAGGAAACCTCCGGCTCCCCCTTCCTCCCCTGGCAGGTTCGGGGAACAGAGGCGCTCTTCAGGGGTGCCTTGGGGGGCCATCCTGGGGGGGGGGCGGGGATGCCAGGAAGCCCACCTGCGGGAAAGGCGGACTTGCAGCAGCCAGGCATCCCAGTGACTTTAGTCACGTCCTTGCGCTGTCTGGGCCTCGGTGTTCGCATCCATGCAGTGGGGCAAGGTGGCTCTGTTCTCCAGGAGCCCTTGGGTGGGCCGAGCGGAGGACCCGAGTGGGCTGAGGCCAGCAGATGGAGCCGTGGCAGCTCTTCAGTTGCTGAACCAACTGCAGGCAGCCATGTTTCTCTCTAGAAAGAGCCCGGGGCCTGTTGTCGTCCGCGCTGGTGGGAACCAGGCAGGAGAGCTGGGATCTCAGTGCTGCGGGCAGGGAGCAATGTTCCCTGGGATAATTATAGTAGTGTGGTTGACCTTGCTGCACCTGGACAGTGGCTGAGGCCTCACCCTCACCCTGACACACACACACCCTGACACACACAGCTGGGGTCCCAGCTTGGGCCCACCTGTGCATGTGCTTGTCGTTAAGCTTCCCTGGGAGACACCTACTGCCGTCCAGTGCCTGGGAGCCGGGACCTCTGTCGTCTTGTTTCCTCCCTCTGTGTCCCGGCTTTGGTCACCTCTGGAGAGCCCTCTGCCCCCACCCTGTACCGCCACCCCATTGTGCAAGGAGCCCCAGAGGTACACAGCAGAGGCAGAGCTGCCGGGAAGCTGGTGGGACTGTGGCAGCCTGGGCAGCCCTGTCCCCCAGGGGCGGGGCACTGGCAGAGGGCAACACACCCTGAGAGCCCCTCCAGGCTGTCCTCCTCTCCCCTCCACCTTGCTGCCTTCCTGGCCTTATCTCTGCTCCACTTCCTCCACCCAGTCTGTGGGTCCTTTCTTTTTTAAAAAAAGTACTTTTAGTAAAATGAATGATAACTGTATTATATCATTTGTTTTACTAAAATTGTCAAAATGCCTTTTATACAAGACTGCGGAGTACAAAATACAAATGAAAATAACATCAAATCTCATAACATAATATTTTGATGGCCGTCTCTGCAAAAGCCAATCAATTTCTTGTCTCTCTCTCTCTCTCTCTCTCCCCCTGCACACAGTATGTTTCACCTACATTTTCTCATTAAGCCATGTGTCAGGGCATCCCTACTGGTTAATACAACTGTGCACCAGATAATGACATTTTGGGCAATGCCTGTGCACATACTTGACAGTGACATTCCCATAAGGTCCCCCTGGTGACATTGTGGCCATCTCAGCTTAGGTGAACACGCTCTGTGTTGTCCGCACTGTAAGGACATCTCCTGGCGCATTTCATAGAACATGTGTCCCTTGTTAAGCAGTGCATAAGTAATGAGCCACAGTTTTGTTGGGCCAGGTGTTCATTCATTCACGTGGGCACCCAGCTGTGCACATGCATTCACGGAGCGCCCTGACGCGCTAGGCTCTGTGCTGCACACTGACTTGTAAATCCTACCATCTACCTGTAACTCGGCCCTCACCACCTTCCAGCCTCTTTCTCAGCGGCAGGGAGATGCGCTGAAGTCAAGCACCAAGAGCAGGCTCCTCTGTGCAGGTGCAATCCCGCTTCTACCCCTCCCCAGACTTTTCCAACCTTCCCCTCCTGCCCTCCCCTCTGCCCTGGGAACATTCTAGGTGAGGGAGGAGCAACCCCAGGCTTCCTCCTAGTACAGTGGAGGTGAGGTGGTCGAGTTAGCCTGTGTCTCCTCCTCTGCCCTCTTGGCTGTGTTCGGAGCCTTGAGTTTAGGACTGGCAGTGGAAACCCAGGCCACCTCCTGCTTCCAGATTCAGACCACAGGGGCTGCTGTTTGGTGTAGTGGTCTTGTTGCTGCTTGGGACACCGCATTCCATTGTGGGGGAGCCTGGTCTGCTACCTATCCAGCTTCCTGCCAGTGCACCCTGGGAGGCAGCAGGTGTTGGCTTAAATACCTGGGTCCCTGCCACCCCTATGGGAGACCCAGATGGACTTGTGGGCTCTTGGCTTCAGCATTTGGGGAGTGAATCAGCAGATAGACAATCTCTGTCTCTTTTTCTCTTTGCCTTTCAAATAAAAAAAATGAAAAAGTAATAGTTTAGGCCATAAAAAATTACTGAGGATTTTTTTCTCTGTGCCATCCACTAAGAGTAGGCACTATTAAATTCTCAGTGAACAGATGAGGATGTGAAACAAAGAAGCAGAGGGGTCCCGACTGGGGGCAATACCAATGCAGCAGCTTATCAATGACATTGGAGAAATCTGAATGTATCAGTGACATTGTTTAGAGTGGCTGTCACATGACGATAAGAAGCAGAATGATGATCAGATAGTATTATTGTTTCAAAATTCTCCACAATGCACCCTCTTATCACCTGCCTTGCCACCACCTGTTTCCATGGGACACTCCCAACACCCAGGTCCAGAGCAGTTGGTGACTGAGGCAGACCAGGATGGCAGGCAGGGGACATGGCCCAGGTCTGTGAGTGTGCAGGCCTGGCTCCTGATCACTCCATGGTGCTGAGTCCCATGGCTCTCAGCCGGCATCCCCTGTGCCCTCTGATGACTTGTTGTCCTGAGCTGACACTAGACAGGTGACAGAGTAGAAACGACGCACAGCTGGTGACGTGTGTGGAGGCACCAGCCCAGCCCAGCACGATTTGGAAGCTCATGTACCCCTTCTCCACAGGAGAGCTGGAGAGTGGAGAATGGAGCCAGATTTTAGGTGAATCACAGATTTTTTAGGAGAACCATACAATGGCTCGGGACAAAGTCTGTTGTTCAAAACACACCAATGGGTTGCAAATGCCTCTCTTTGGAATGTTGCCTGGCACTGCCCGAAGAGAAGATGAGGGTGTGGATGGAGTTGAGTCTTTCTGCCTGGGGTTTGAATTTAGTTCGATGAAACCTCAGGCAGAGGAGCTGAGGGCATGGGCCTGGACTGCATCAGCCAAGGATCTGTCCAAGGAGAGTCTTCCTGCACCTGCCGCTCTCGATGGTCCTTTAATTTAAAATAAGCACACGAGGAGGCCACATTCTGGGGTGACAGTCACTGGACTCCTCTAGTTCTCTTCCCTCACCCCAGCCAGGCACATTGGCACCACCCGCAGACATTTTTGTCTTCACTTGGGCAGAGGCCAGGGAGGTTGGTAAAGGTCCTACAGGGCACAGAACAGTCCTGCCCCAAGGAATCCCCCGCTCCGAAGTGCCAACGCGGCCAGATTGGGAAACCCTGCCCGAGACGGGAGGGAGGTGTCCTGGTTGCTGGTGGGCAGCTGGGGGAGTCATGCTTCTTAGGATGGCTGCAAGCCAGCCGGGGCCTTAGGAAGTCTGGCTGACCGCTTTACAGCCAGCAGCAGCAGTAGTGTGTGGATGGCCTCTTTTATAGCACTGTCGTTGCAGCCGGATTCGGGGCAAGGCAACCGTTCCTCTACCAAGCGCTCACTGAGCGTGTCCAGGGTGTTAAGACTGTGCCAGAGGCTGGGCCTGGGATGAATGAGCAAACCAGTTGCAGGGGAAGACATAAGGCCTAAGCAGAGGCAGCAGCAGTGGCAGAAGCAAAACTATAGTGGATGTAGTGGGACAGTCTGGACTGGCTTTGTGCGATTCTAGAATCCAGCATCGCCTCCTTCCATAAAATAGTCAGTGTCTTCCCATGCGCTGAGCCAGAGAACTCGGGTTTTAGAGACAGGAAAGGGTGGAAGAGAGCAGGAGCGAGAGACCAAAAGGCAAGGGGTTGTTTCTGAGCTACTTTCCTTGCAAGGTTGGGACAGGGACAGAGAGCAATAGAAACTTAGAGGATGGCTCCCACCAGGTTACTGTTTGCAAGGATGAAAGCAGAGAACTCGCCAAGCCCCTTGAAATGGGCCTCAGCATGTGTGGCTCCGTCTTGACATCTAGTCTGGCCTGGCAGGATCCTGCTCGATCCCAGTGGCCTCCTATTGTTTCACCTGGGAGAATGACAGAGTGGGGCAGAAGGCCGAGAACAAGGGGACGGAAGCCCCAGGTCTTGGTGGCTGATCAGTTGGAGGAGGACGGGATGAGGGAGAGGGCAGAGTCTGGTTCAGTAGTCGCGATCCCAGTAAGAGTTCTGATGGAGCCCGCAGCAGGGATGGAGCCAGGGGATAGAGGATGAGACCGAGGGCTGGGGTGGCTGATGGATGTGCGCAGATGATCTAATCCAGAGCACCTGTGAATAGCAAAGCTAGCGACCTTGGCAATGAGGGGAATGCCGATGAGCGCACCAGCACCGTGTTCGCCATTGTAATGAACAAAAACTGAAACCATGGAAACAGTGCCGGCCACGATGAGCAGGTTAAACAGGGATATTTCTGGGAGCAGGGGAAGTGGGAGCAGAACCTTTAAGGATGATAGGAATTAGGAACGGGCACTGGGAATCTGAGAGTGTGCTTCCGGAAGCCTCTTGAGGGGCCAATGTCGAGGCGCAGCGGTTGAAGCTGATGCTTGCAACATCTTGCCAGGAGCTCAACCTGGGGCTACCCATGGGTGGCAAGGACCCAGCCACTTGAGCTGTCGGCACCTGTGGGGCTGCAGCCTTGACAGCAGACCGGGAGCCCGCCTCTCTGTCCTGAGCCGGGAAAGCTGTACCGACTGGGGGCGGGGTCCAGCATTGCCTCTGGTGTCCCATGGCCCCCGCCGCTCCGGGGTGGGGGCCATGGGGGCGGCCGCCTGCCGAGGCCTCAGGGCTGTCTCTTCAGTTTGTCAGGTGCGCCTACGTCATCATCCTCATGGCCATTTACTGGTGCACGGAAGTCATCCCTCTGGCTGTCACCTCCCTCCTGCCTGTCTTGCTCTTCCCACTCCTGCAGATTCTGGACTCCACGCAGGTGCGTAGCCCCAGGGGTCCCCGTGGACTCCTTCCCCAAAGCCCTCTCCAAGCTGCCTAGGCCTGTGGGTGAGCAGATAAGTGCTATTTGTGGCATCTCTCTGGCATGGAGACTTACTCCTTGAGCCCACACCACTCCTAAGTGGACATCTGGCCTGCTCTGTCTCTGGGGACATGGGTGGCCCTGGGCCCCAGAGGCGTGTGGCCAGGAGGCAACCCTGACAGGGCCTCCATGCTGCCCTCCAGGTGTGTATCCAGTACATGAAGGATACCAACATGCTCTTCCTGGGTGGCCTCATCGTGGCCGTGGCCGTGGAGCGCTGGAACCTTCACAAGAGGATCGCCCTGCGCACGCTCCTGTGGGCGGGGGCCAAGCCTGCACAGTAATTACACCTCCTTCCTCTTGCCACACGGCTCTGCGGTGGGCCCAGGGCTGGGGAGGAGACCAGGGCTAGCCGTGGGTTTACCTGGGCTTGGCCGGCTGGCCCCTGGGTGGGGCATGGTGAGTAGCAGTGAGGAAAGGTGCTCTAACTCAGCGGGAGGTTGGGGGTGGGATGGGGCGTGTGTTACTGGTCAGCACAAGTCCCTGCAGGTTTGGAAGGCTTCCTGGGGGAGGCAGCTAGAGGGTCCCCAAGGAGCAAGTTGGACTGGAGGCTGGATCAAGCCGTGCTGAGTAGGGGGTTGTGGAGAGAGCAAGTCAGAGGTGGCTCAACGGTCCAGCTTGGGGGAAGCAGAAAGGTCACCCACCCAAGGGACACCTGCTGCTCCTGCACAGTAGCTTCCTGGACCTCATCTTCCCCAACATCACTGGGGACCCCAGTGACCCACTCCCTCCTGGAGACCCCCCAACCAGCCAGCACATGGGCCATTCCCAGCCAACCCCTGGGACTGGGCTGGGGCTCATTTATCACCTGCCACCTGAGCGCTACACACAAGGGAGGCCACCACCATTGGAAGGATTGGCTGACAGTGCCGGGGGGCAGGCCCAGCCTATCTTGGGGGCAGTGCCCCCAGGCCCCCTCCCCCACACTGAAGGCAACTGTTAGCTCTCAGTAATCACCTCCTGAGATGCGTGTGGCCCTGGGCACCCATGACGTGGCCGGGGTGCCTGGGGCTCCCGGGAGTGCAGGCCTCTGTCTGTGACTCTCTGAGCTCTGCTGTGTCTTCGCGGCGTGGCTCCCCTCCGGTGATAGGTTTGCAGGGTCCAGTCAGAAGCCACTGCTTCAGATTGGCAGGAGCTAAGGGAAAGAGAACTCAGGGTTCTGCTTCTAGGAGCTCTGAGGGGTCAGCCGCCCCCACCCCCAGGGGCTGCCTGCGCTCTCGCCCTCCCACCCACTCCTCTGGACTCGGCTTCCGGGCGTCCTTGGTGCCCTGTAGCATCAAGTGACAGCCACGGCCTTCAAGGACCACTTGCCTTCACGCACCCTCTCCCCTCCTCTAGCCAGATTCCACCTTTGTCGTTATGGGTCTGTAGGTCAGCCTGCACGGACAGTGGCTGGAACCGCATGGTGCGTGCACCCCCGGGGTCCCTGCTGGAGCCTCGGGGATTAGTGAGCCTGAGAGGCGAGCCTGGGGACCCAGGTCACTTTTGCTCCATTCAGCTGGCTCCCCACCCTGTCCCCCCAGTGCTTTCTTCCCCTGGCTGGGATATGGGGGACCACGGAAAGGAATGGGGCCCTGCCTGGTGTGCAGCGAGAGGGCAGCCACAGAGGGGCACGCTCCATATTGAGTTGGCCTCGTCTGGATGCCTGCCCTTCTCTGGCTAGACGGGGAGACCTTTGGCACCTCAGCTGGGCCCAAGGCCTCCTGTGGCCCCAGCAGCCAGCAGAGAGGACATCAGTGGTGTTTGTGGAGAGGGGTAGGAGGGGAGGGAAGAAGGAAGGAGAACAGGAGGGCGGGAGGCGAGGCACTCAAATTGTCCCAGCCCCCGACTAGAATGCCCAGCTTGGGACCAGCTGCAGCTGCTCTGCACACCCTTGGGGAGGCCGGGGCCGGTGGGGGGATTCCCTGGCTTCCCTCCTGCCCACTCCTGCAGGCTGATGCTGGGCTTCATGGGCGTCACGGCCTTCCTGTCCATGTGGATCAGCAACACGGCCACCACGGCCATGATGGTGCCCATCGTGGAGGCCATGCTGCAGCAGATGGAGGCCACGAGCACAGCCACGGAGGCCAGCCTGGGGACCCTGGAGCTGGCGGATAAGGGCAAGCCCGGTGAGCTGCCAGGTGAGCCCGCGCCAGCACGCGCCGCCGTGCCCTGCGCTGCCGAGTGCTTTGGCCACCTCTTTCTCCTTCCCTGCTTCCCGAGTGCCTCCGTTAGAGCCGCACGGAGCAACGGATTCAGAAATTGCTGTTTTCCTGAGTTTTCGATTCTTGCATAGAATTAGATTCTTCAGAGGTGCTTAGAACGCTGTGTTTCCTTTAGAACACCTCACAAGGTCCCACCCTCAGTTCCTGCCAATCACAGAGATCAGTAACTGTCCATTGGATGATTCATTTGGGCATTAAAAAAAAAGATTTGTTTATTCATTGGAAAGGCAGAGTTACAGAGAGTCAGAGACAGAGAGAGAGAGGGGGCAGTGGGGGTTGCGGGAGAGGTCTTCCATCCACTGGTTTACTTCTCAATTGGCCGAAACGGCTCGAACTGTGCTAATCTGAAGCCAGGAGCTTCCTCCAGGTCTCCCACATGGGTACAGGGGCCCAAGCACTTGGGCCATCTTCCACTGCTTTCCCAGGCCACAACTGAGAGCTGGATCAGAAGTAGAGCAGCCGGGACTCGAACCAGTGCCCATATGGGATGCTGGTACTGTAGGCGGCAGCTTTACCTGCTACACCACAGCACTGGGCCGCATTTGGGCATCTTTTGAGCACTTGCTGAATGCCCTGGCCCCTTGCTACTCCAATACATCATCAAGGGAGCCTTCTCTGACCTCCTTGGGCAAGAAATCCCCTCCTCTCTCTGCTCCCGTCGGCCTTGGCATTGGTGTTTACCTGCTTGCTAAATACTGAGCTCAGGGAACACAAGACAGCACCTGCGTTGCTCTTTGCCCGTTCCCTACCCATCCGCAGCCCAGGGACGGTCAGCGCCCATGACTCACGGCCTGATGGTCAGACGCTGGGCGAGCTCCTGCAGCCTCAGAGGCGAACCAGGCCCAGTCCTGCTTGCTGTGGACTCTCGGGAGCCCCGGGGAAGCATGATTAGACCCCTCCAACAAATCATGTGCCTTAGAGGAAACCTGGGAGAGCTGTCAGTCTGAGCTCGGGAAAGGGAGACGCCTTGCTGGGAGGAGAGGGTGTTTGAGGTGGATTCGGACACCCCTGATGGAGAGAGGAGCCCGAGCAGGAGCGAGAGGAGGGGCGGTGTCTTCGGTTGCTGGGTTTGGAAGGAGCAGCCTTAGGGAAGGTGTGGGGGCCCCCACTGTGCCTCTGGGTGGAGGCTGAGGAGTGCACGTGGAAAGGTGGGACAGGGCTGGGAAGTCTCCATCCTCAGGTCAGTGGCGGGGCTGGGGCTGGGGGCGGCCCCCATGGCTAACTCGGCTGACGTCAGCATCTCCCCGCTGCAGGGAACCAAGTGATCTACGAAGGCCGTGCTGCGGGGCAGAAGCAGGACCAGGAGAGGAAGAACATGTGCAAGGCCATGACCCTGTGTGTGTGCTACGCGGCCAGCATCGGGGGCACCGCCACACTGACTGGGACGGGCCCCAACGTGGTGCTGGCAGGACAGATGCGCGAGTGAGTCCCTGGCCCTGGAGCTGGGGGCACCTGCCCACGTCTTCCTCTTCTTCGGCTGGGTCCTGGGAGCCTGGTGTGTGTGCGTGGCGATGGGGAAGGGCAAGGTGTGCCCCACCCAACCTCTGTGTCCCAGAACCCCTGTACCCACTCAAGGCATGTCCAAGGCTGCTCTGTCCTGGGACCACACCCACCTTTCTTCCCTGGGCACAAGGATCTGGCTGTGAGCGGAGCTGTGGGCTGAACTCCGCACTGAAGCCACAGTGGGCGGGGGGGTGGCCGTGTAGTCTGCGGTGCCTTGTTTAGAACCTGCAGCAAACAGTGCCTCCGGTGGCCCCTGTCTGTGGTTGTCAGTGGTCAGTGACGTTGGAGGCTGCTCACTCAATGCCTGGTGCCTCACTCCCTGTGGCCACATGTCCCTCTGTGAGCCCCAGGCGGACCACAGAGAGAGCTGGGAATTTCTCAGCTTGGCCAGTGTCTGTGGCCTCTCCAAAGTGAGAGAAACCTGGGTCCTGCCCGTGGGGTCCTCGGGTCTGCTCAGGGATGCGTGAAGTGAGCTGTGCACAACAGATGGCAGCAGCAGGAACAATGGGGTGCACTGTCAGCAGAGACCTGAGCTGCGGTCAGGGGTGCCGGCGGCGGCTGGCGCAGAAGCTGGGGGGTGGACACGACGGGCCCAGAGCCTGGCCCGGCAGACTTGAGGATCAACAACCAGGTTTCCACCCTGAGAGTGTTTTCTGTAATGATATCCTTGCGGCTCTCCCCTGAGCTCCTCTGGGGGAGGCAGCCTGTCCGGGCCGGCTCTAGGTCGGCTTCGACAGCCTCGAATCGAAGGGTATAGCCCAGGGATTGGAAGGCAGGAGCGGAGCCTGGGGAGGAAGTGACTCTTCCAGGCTCTTCTGGTCTCACCCTGGGAAGCCTTAGAGGTAGAGTGAGGGTTCTGAGACATCCCTGGCCCCGCAAAGACCCGGGCAGAGGATGGGGTGGGCTGTCTCTCCTCAGCCTCTTGTTGCACGGGGTGATGGGCGTGGGCAGCTGGCCCCCTGGGGAGGACGCGGGCACCCAGTCAGCGGCCCCTGCGGCCCAGCCTCGGCCCACGGGGCTCGGTGTGGGCGTTGAGGGGGTGCCGGTTTGTCCTTTCAGACTGTTTCCTGACAGTAAGGACCTCGTGAACTTTGCGTCTTGGTTTGGCTTTGCTTTCCCCAACATGCTGATCATGCTGCTGTTCGCCTGGCTTTGGCTCCAGTGTATCTACATGAAGTTCAAGTAAGTGCCAGCGAGTCAGCAGGCGGCTTGGGGTGTGGTCAGCCCGCAACTCCCATCGCCCCCCACCCCACCCCCATGCCAGTCTACGCATGGTTCCTGCTTCCTGGAATGCCATTTCCTGCCTTCCCAGCTTCAACAGGTGGCAGTGGCAGGAACAGTGTCTTCCAGGCCAGTTCCAGCCCAGTTCCCGCACTGCGCCTGCCGGGCCCTCCCCACTTCCATTGCATCCTGGAGGAATTCCTCGCTGACCCCTCCAAGCTGCCCCTGGCCATGCCACAGTTCCCTCCCTTGGGTCCTGCATTCATGCTCCAGCGCTGCCCCCACCCCCCGACCATGAGCTGCTCCGGGGCCTCTCTGACCCCTGCTCCCACCTAGAGAGGACAGGGGCACTGTCCAAGTGGGTTAAAGAGGAGCTGTTCCTCTGCCAAGTCAACACCGTAGGGTCCATGAGGCCAGGTCTCAGCTAACCTCCTGATAGTGTCCAGATCAATCCAAATCCCTGCAGTGTTCCCAGCACCGGGGCCCGGGAAGTTCACCTTCCGATTCCCAGCACACTGGCAGGTTCCCCAGAGCCACTTGTGACAGCAGCCGGACTTTGCACAGAAGCCATGACGTGTGACTGACTTGAAAAGGACACAAATATGTCTGTCGCAAGGGTTGTTGTGCACCCGAGATAGAAAGGACTTAGCCGCGAGCTGAGCCCAGGTGCTCTGTGTCTCCATCTGCGGTAAAAACAGGAGGACAAGGCACTTCAAGAAGTTGGCAGAAACTGGAATTGAAAGGGCACTTTATTTTGGTGTCAAACATCTTTGAAATTCATGCATACCACAGGATCTTCGAGAAGTTCATGGAAAACACACATGGTTTAAAAACTACGCGAGGATCAGCAAGAGAGACCAGCAGTGGCTTCATGGGACATTCGCCTAGGTTTTATCCTGGAGGAGGTGTTCTATTGAAAACTGCTGCTGAAACATTGCTGTTCATGCTCACGACAGCCAAGATCATGGCCGTGATGGCCGTAGGCATCACTCACCCCCGCCCACCCCGAGTCCAGGCCCCACGGGGAAGGGAGGGGTTCACGTTGCTTGTGTGCACGGCGCACCTCTGACAGCGGCCCCCTTGGCCCTGCTCCTCGAACTTGTGCCAGCACCAGTGTCCTGCCTGTTGGCTGCCGGCCGTCCAGCAGGCCTATCGGGAGATAGCCCCCTGCACCTGCTACAGATGGGCATCCGTGTCTCCTCACGGAGCAATAGAAGTCACCATGGCCAGCATTGGCTGGGGGATGGTTACACTAGTCTAAGCAGCCTGCATAAATGAACTGAATTAATCCTCACAATGACCCCTGAGGTGTAGGTACTTTGTTTCAGCCCCAGTCCACAGGGAAAAAAAAAAACAAAACAAAACAAAAAAAAAACATGCAGCTGAGACCTGCATGGCTTAATTGGCCCACACAAGGTTGTTTAGCGGGGAAGTTGTGCGGCTGCAATTGGAGCCCAGGTATCTTGGCACTGCATCCCGTCTTGGGAAGGCCACAGGTTGCTGCTCTGGACTGCCTCAAAGCCTGGGCGTGCCCAGGTGTCAGGAGCACTAACTGTGGCCTGGGGCTTCCCGAAATCCCTAAGGCCCACCGAGCAAGAAGAAGGCGCCAGCCTGGCCCCAGGACCACGAGGGCTTCGTCAGCCTCCTGTCTGCAGCACGGTGGACACCAGGCCCCTAGGAACTCACAGCAAGCACGTGACGCTGCCCTTTGCCCAGGCTGGAATGGCCTCCATCAGCGGTGTGCGCCTGGCAGGGAGCCTGTGCTGCACTGGCGCCTCTGTAGCCTGCGTGTGGAGGGAGGGAGTGTAGGGCTTCCCTCCCATCCCAGACACACCGTTCTAGCTGGACGTGCAGTGCGTTTCAGTGCTAGGTCTGGAAGGCAGAGGACAGCTTTGTATGCTCAGTTTGAATGCTGGGAACAGGGCTGTGGCCCAGGCCACATCCTGCCACACACCAGGGCCTGGGAGTTGCCCCCTGCCTCCATCACCTGCTGGACCATCTCATCTGAGGCCAGGAACACCTCTTTTAGCCTCCGCGTCTACCTCCTCATGCTGTCATTGGAGTTCCTCGTCTGGATGATCGTGGAGAATAATGTCAGAGTCCTGCTGAGTATGCCACCAGCCACGGAGGCCCCAGGGCCCCCAGGACCCCCAAGAACCACAGAAGACACCAATCCTGGCTTGTACTCTGCAGTCCCAGCCAGCCTCACCCCTGTTCTTCCAACCCCCGCCATCACAAGAGGACTTGAGGATCCCTTCCCGCTCCTTGGCTGTGCGTCGTGTTCAGTCCAAGTTCACCAGGGTGGGTCCCGGTGAAGGCCACTCTGTTGCTGAGAGACACTGGGGCACACACAGGCCACCTGGACCCATTCACCCGCACCACATGGCAGCCCAGCGGTTGTCAGAGGAAGTGACTGCAGAGATGAGCGTGAGCTGGCTTAGTGTGAGAAGGCAGGAGGGCTGGCCGTACACTAGACAGGGGAGCGGCACTGAACGACTGCACATTCGATGCGCCCCTGGAGTCTGCAGCCACTGTGGTGCTGGGGACGTGTGGCCAGCACCAGACAGGAGCTTGGGCTTGTTGTTGCCTGTCGCCTCCTTGCTGGGCAACTCCTGGAAACCTGAAGTCCCTGGCCCAGGCTCCAAGGCAACAGGTGACAGTAATCAGTGCTTGGAAGATCCAGTGAGAGCAGAGAGACATCCTTTGTGTCCCCAGAGTCATCCACACACCCCATCATCTGGGGGATATCACAGGAGGGGGGCCCCTCGGGGCACATGGCCTTGCCCTTGACCCAGCAGGGAGACCCACCCAACTGTGAAGACCTGAGACCCTCTCGGTGCCCCCTCCTTTCCTGGCCCCTGAGCATCCCAAGAGGCTGTGTCTGGATACCTTCCCATGCCCTGGGCCAGGTCAAGCCACAGGCAAGGCAGAACACGGCAGCACGGGCTTTAGGATTCAGCAGCTATCCCATCAACCCCTGCTTCCCGTCGTCTTGTATTAGAGACCCCTGCAGACTGACGGCGGCAGGAACATGTGAATGGAATCCTCCGAGAGCATCTCAGGGTCTGCAAACCCAGCTGTGGTCCTTGTTACCCCCTTCCCACAGCTGAGTTACCCTCCTCCCCTCCTCTAAGGGGCCCCCTCCTTCCTGCCCCCATGCCCACGCTGTTCTGGGGGACGGTTTGTAGGACACCCTGGTGGGCCCTGCTGCCCCAGCTGTGCTTGCTGCTAACCCCAGGATCTCCTGGATCCCTAATCCTAAATCTCAGGAACACAGGATCCGCCCAGCCCCTGCCTAGCCCAGTCTTCTGCCCAGCACCAGCTAAGGCAGCTCCAGCCACGGGGGGAAGGGGAAGGCTCATAGAGTGCATGGGAAACCCTGGTCTCGCCTCAGGCAGGCTCTAGGAGCTCTCCTGGCCTTCCCCCAGGTGACCCTGGAGCTACCAGTCTGCAGGTGACGGGGCACCTGCCGGCGATGGCCTTGATCCCGCCTGCTTGCTTCTGCATCCTGTCCTCTTGCCCCTCCCCTGTCCTGGTCAGCCTCCCAGCCTCCTGGCTGGGCTCTCTTTCCTGCCACCACTGGCCCGAGGACCTGACGGAGACCAGCCACTCACATCACCGGCACATCTGGGGCCTCTCCTGGGAGCACCCCCCCACTCCGGGTCCCAGGGCGTGCACTGGGCTCACAGAGCTGCACCCCTCAGCAGGCTTCTCCACACTGGCCCAGGGAGGCGGGGAGGCAGGTGACAGAGGGGAGGAAGGGACTTGCTCCAGGTCCTGCCGCAGGCGGGAGGCAGTGCCCTGTGCTGTGTGCAGACGCCACTGAAGCTCGTCCCACCAGCGCCACAGCCAACCAGCCTGGCCTGCCCTTCTCTCACCTCTGCATTTTCTAGTTTCAGAGACTCCTGGGGCTGCGGGCTGGAGAGGCGGAGCAACGAGAAGGCGGCCTATGAGGTGCTGCAGGCGGAGTACAGGAAGCTGGGCCCCTTCTCCTTCGCCGAGGTCAACGTGCTCCTCTGCTTCGTCCTGCTCGTGGTCCTGTGGTTCTCCCGCGACCCTGGCTTCATGCCCGGCTGGCTGTCACTCGCCTGGGTGGAAGGGGAGACCAAGTAAGGGGTTCCTTCTGCACAGCCCCCAACCCCCGGCTTAGGAGGCTGCCCAAGAGGGGTGGGCGGGGCTCGGCACCCCTCTGTCCTGGAGCTGGGTGTCAGAGGTGCTCTGCTGGCCTCGAGGTCCACTTTCTTCCTGACAGCACCCCAGATGTGTCCTCCCAGCAGCCTCTCCTTCCCTGTAGGCCAAGGGGAAAACGCTGGGGCAGGCAGGTGGCCAAAACCATGAGCAAACCGTGTTAGGCTAGGAGGAAGGATCCCGGAGTCTGGTGTCCAAAACTCTGTCGTCTTCCCTTTCTTATATTTCTTGTTAAAAATACTTATTTTATGATTTTTTAAAAGATTTTATTTATTTATTTGAAAGGCAGAGTTACAGAGAGGCAGATGCAAAGAGAGAGAGAGAGAGAGGTCTTCCATCTGCTGGTTCAGTCCCCAAATGGCTACAACAGCCAGAGCTAGGCCAATCTGAAGCCAGGGTAGCCAGGAGCAGCTTCTGGGTCTCCCATGTGGGTACAGGGACCCAAAGACTTGGGCCATCTTCTACTGCTTTCCCAGGCCATAGCAGAGAGCTGGATTGGAAGTGGAGCAGCCAGGACTAGAACCGGTGCCCATATGGAATGCCAGCACTGCAGGCAGGGGCTTAGTGCACTATCCTACAGCACCGGCCCCCAAAATATTTATGTGAAACACAGTTACAGAGAGAGGGAGAGATCTTCCATCCACTGGTTCACTCCCCAATGGCCACAACAGCCAGGACTGGGCCAGGCCCAAGCCAGGACACTGGAACTCAATCCAGGTCTGCCATGTGCATGGCAGGGACTCAAGCACGTGGGCCATCTTCTTTTTTTTTTTAATTTAATTTTATTTTTTTTGACAGGCAGAGTGGACAGTGAGAGAGAGAGACAGAGAGAAAGGTCTTCCTTTGCTGTTGGTTCACCCTCCAGTGGCCGCCGCGGCCGGCGCGCTGTGGCCGGCGCACCGCGCTGATCCAATGGCAGGAGCCAGGAGCCAGGTGCTTTTCCTGGTCTCCCATGGGGTGCAGGGCCCAAGCACCTGGGCCATCCTCCACTGCACTCCCTGGCCACAGCAGAGGGCTGGCCTGGAAGAGGGGCAACCGGGACAGAATCTGGCGCCCCGACCGGGACTAGAACCCGGTGTGCCGGCACCGCTAGGCGGAAGATTAGCCTAGTGAGCCGCGGCGCCGGCCTACGTGGACCATCTTCTACTTTCCCAGGCACATTAGCAGAGAGCTGGATCAGAAGTGGAGCAGCCATTCATCAAAGCGGTGCCCATATGGGATGCTGGCACTGCAGGCAGTGGCTAAACTTTTTGCTCCACACTGCCGGCCTCTTTATCTTTCTTCAGATCTGGGCAAGTCCCTCACAAGACACACATCTCAGGGTCCAGAAGCTTCTTAGATAGATTCAGCAAAAAGAGCATCTATGTTATTTCTCTCCAGGCTTTGAGGTTGTATGTCCTGGAAAAGGCAGGAGCAGGTTTGTGTGTTGTGGCACAGCAGGTCCCCTGTGACACTAGCATCCCGTATGAGTGCCAGTTCCAGTCCTGGTTTACCCACTTCCAGTCCAGTTCCCTGCCTATGTGCCTGGGAAGGCAGCAGGTGGCCCAAGGGCTTAGACCCCTGCCACTCATGTGGGAGACCCAGATGGAAGGCTAGGCTCCTGGCTTTAGCCTAGCCCAGCCTCAGCTGTTGCAGCCATTTGGAGAGTGAACCAGTGGGTGGAGGATGTCTCTCTCTCCCTCTCCCTCTCTCTCTCTCTGTCACTCTGCTTTTTAAATCAGTCATTTAAAAAAACCAAAAAGGCAGGAGCAGTGGGTGGAGAGAGAGCTGCTGTCTCTGGCTGTTTTTTCAAAGGTCTGCTTGGGGCACACCAGAGTCCTTGGGGTCATCCCAGTGAGCCCAGAATCCCAGAAAACCTGGTTGAAAGGTGGTCACCATGGAACTGTGCAGGTTCAGAGACGGAGGCGGACTGCCCGGAGTCACCCAAGGCAGTGGCCAAGCACGTGGGCGTCTTGGTTTCCAGCCAGAGCTCTGCCTCCCACACTGTCCTGCTCTAGGCTCGGGGGGCTCCAGTTTTCCCGGGTCTGCACTAGAGGCATTTAGAGAGAACTGCCCAAGGGCAGGTGACCACAGCAGCCGAGCCGGGGTAAACTGCCCGCTCTTCCCCTCCCAGGTACGCCTCTGACGCCACTGTGGCCATCTTTGTGGCCCTCCTGCTGTTCGTTGTGCCTTCACAGAAGCCCAAGTTCAACTTCTGCAGCCAGACTGAGGAAGGTAAGGGCTCCCGTTCTGGCCGCCTGGTCCCTGGGATTGGGGCCCTGGCAGAGCAGAGGTCTCCTTGGGCCCAGGAAGGAAATCCCACGGCCTTGGAGAGGACTGGCTGCCTTGCAAAACCCTGGGGAGCAGTGATTTTCCAGGCGACAGCCGTACTGCTTAGTGCAAATCTCCTCTCTTTCCTTCTTCAACTCTCGAAATCTTGTTCCTGTTATAACAGCAGCAGGAAGCGTTTCAGATTCCTCATGATGCCGCCAGTGCTTCTGTGTTCTCCCTCTTCCTCCCTCTCTCTGTTGATGTGTATACGGCTGTGATCAAAACACACGCACAGGTAGAATCCTGTTTCTTAGGTTTTGGTGTTTGCTTGGAATTACACTGTAAACACTTCCCAGTATTCCCAGTCTTCAGATTTCTTTCCTCTAAAAATGGCATTATATTACAAGAAGGGACTGTTGAATTTTCATTACTAGAAGCTCACATTTTTTATAAAGATTTATTTTATTTGAGAGGCAGAGTTACAGATAGAGAGAAAGACAGAGAGAGGTCTTCCATCCGCTGGTTCACTCCCTGAATGGCCACAACAGGCAGAGCTGCACCAATTGGAAGCCAGGAGCTTATTCTGGGTCTCCCACATGGGTGCAGGGGCCCAAGCACTTGGGCCATTTCCCCCTGCTTTTCCCAGGCCATTAGCAGGGAGCTTGTTCAGAAGTGGAGCAGCCAGGACTCGAACCAGGGCCTACACGGGATGCTGGCGCTGCAGGCGGAAGCTTAGCCTACTGTACCACGGTGCTGGCCCCAGTTCACGCTTTCTCATGCAGAGCTTTCTTTTGAGATACTTTGGCTTCAGGATAGATTTCTAGGAATCATAGTGCTGGGTAAAAGAATACACATACTTAATGATTCTTTGTGTGGCCAAATGGCTTTTCCAAAAGATTGCCTGGGTTCCTTGTGCGGTCAGCAGTGTGTGTGGTGGGTTAACAGTCGCTGCACACTGTGGCTGGTTTACAAGCAGTAGCTGCTTCACCATGGTCCCCGTGGTTTTTATGGTCCCTTGATGCCACCTCACTCATTCTCTACCACTGCTTTCGGTTGTGCACGTGTGAGTGGGAGTGTGTTTATTTTTTCTTCTCAGAAAGGAAAACTCCATTTTACCCACCTGCGTTGCTGAACTGGAAGGTGGCCCAGGAGAAAGTGCCCTGGGGGATCGTGCTGCTGCTGGGGGGCGGCTTTGCCGTGGCCAAAGGATGCGAGGTAACCTGCTGAGCCCTGGCTGCCCACGGCCCTCCCTGCACCCCGGCCCTGTGTGTCTGCGTCTGTCTCCCCCACGTCGCAGTCTTTGAGCTCCGGGACTCTGTTCGTCCTCTAGGAAGCCTACAGGCTGACTCGTGCCCTGGGAGGGGGAGAGGACTCTGAGGGATTACAGAAATGAGTGCTGTGTGGCCCTGCTCTGCCGTCAGGCTCCCTCTGGGCTTGGTCACAGGATCTCTGCTGTGGTTTATCCACAGCTGTCTCTGTTCTCAAGTCCTCATGAATATTTTCACTGTTTTCTTTGGTTTCTATCACTTGTAGAACTCTTCTTTGACATGGTTTCAAAATGCCTTCCCTCCCCCCTGCCCCCAGCTAACTGTGTAATGGCCCAAGATTAGAGGAAGAGATTTTGGGTGAAAATATCCCCAAATGTAACCTTCTCTGCTTTCCTTCTTTCCCCTCGGGAAAGCCAGAGGGAGGGATGACCTAGCTTAGTGCTGCTGGCCTTCATCTATCATCCATCTGTCCATCCATCATCTACCCTTCCATCCACCGATCCAGCCAACCATCCATCCATCTCTCATCCATCCATCCATCCATCCTCCAATCCAGTCAACCATCCATCCATCTATCCATCATCCTTCCATCCATCTATCCATTATTCATCCATCATGCATCTATCATCTGCCCATCATCCACCCACCCATCTACCAATACAGCCATCCATCCATCAACCATCTATCCATCTAATCATCCATCCATCCATCCATCCATCCCTCATCCATCCCTCCATCTACCAATCCAGCCAACCATCCATCTATCATCTGCCCATCATCCACCCACCCATCTACCAATACAGCCATCCATCTATCATCTAACCATCCATCCATCCATCCACCAATCCAGCCAACCATCCATCCATCTGTCCATTTTCCATCTGTCTATCTACCCATCCACCCATCCATCTGAAAAACTGTTGTCTATCCAGGGTTAGAATGTAATAATTTTTCCATCTCCTTGTTGCTGTTTCCTCAATATCTAAGATAGAGCCTGGTGTGTGGTGGGTGTGTGAATACCTTTTGGATTAACAAACCCATCCATACAGTCATCATCTTTCAACCCTTCCATCCCTCCTTCCACTTACTCATCTCTCCATCTATCGTTTATTCATTCATCAAACATTCCCATTATGTCTCTAGTGTTGGCGAGGCACAGAGATTACAGAGAAGATTGAGGTGTAGTCCCTGTTCTTGAGGACTTCACAGCCCAGGAAGGGGGCATTTTGGGAAGAAGTGACCCATGAGCACTAGAAGAGCAGGCTGGTGACTCTAGCAGAAGCCATTTCTCTGAAGGCCTTGGGGATGTGACCTCAGTTCTGAAGGCAGAGGAGTGCCACTGAAGGGCCGAGGTCAGCATTGATGTGGTCAGACCTGCACTGGAGACAAATCACTCTGGTATCTGGAGGGGAGGCCTCGCCAGGCAGGGCTTGGAGGAGAACAAGTAGACACCGGTCACCTGCCTCTAACGCAGCTGCAGACCTTTGGACCGCGTGGCCCGTCTCTCCTTGATGTTCCTTCCACGTCCGACCCCCAAGGCACCGTTTCCTCCAGCTTTGCCCCTGACCTTGACTGTTCCTGCTCAGCTCCTGTTGGCTTTTCCTCTGTTCTCCCTGAAGTGTGAGAGTTCTCTAAAGGTCTGCCCTTGGCCTCTCTTTCCCTTCCCCGGGCCAGATCTTCTTGGCCCAGAGTCCCAGATCTGAGGCCCCAGCACTGTGGAGCACTGGGTGGAGATGGCTGTGAGATTTTTGGGGGTGACTTGGTGACTGGGTACAAGGGGTGAAGGAGACAGACTCCAGGAGGACTCCCAGCTGTCTGGGTTGGACAGCAAGTGATGGTGAGTCTACTCCCTAGACCGGGGAGCCATGAGGGAGAGGCACTTTGGAGGCTAAAGAGGAGGAATTCAGGTTGGGGTATGTGGAGTCTGACTTGCTCACGGGACATCTGGGCAGAAGTTTCTAGAAGGCAACCTGTGGTTAAATCCAGGGAGTGAGCCAGCTGGGCTGGAAATACGGACTTAGGAGGCAGCAGAGTGGTGATGGGGACTGGATGAGAACACCTGTGAAGAGGGAGGAAGGGGCCCCGGGTGACTGCCCTTCCTGTGCGTCCCAGGTCTCGGGGCTGTCCGAGTGGATGGGGAAGCAGATGGAGCCCCTGCACACTGTGCCCCCCGCGGCCATCACCTTGATCCTGTCCTTGCTCGTCGCTGTGTTCACGGAGTGCACGAGCAACGTGGCGACCACCACCTTGTTTCTGCCCATCTTTGCCTCCATGGTAAGCGACCCTGCTGCTGGGGTGGCGGCTTGGGGACCGTTTCACAGGAAGGTGTCAGTCTGTGACTCCGTCCTGGGTGTTCAGAGAGGTGGTGGGATCAGGGGCCAGAGCCTAACTGAGCCTCAGGGCGCTGGGTCTGGCCTCGGCTCCCACGTGGACCTGCGTGTCCTGGGGGAGCCTGGTCCTGTGGCCCGCACTGCTTTGCTGGCTCCTCTTTGTATCCTCCCCTGTGCTGACCAAAGCATCAGACTTGGACTGGGGGCTCCACATTTGTTTCATAAATCGGATTATTTTTGAAGCTGGGGACTCGCACCAGGAGGAGGGTCTGGGCCATGGTCAGCGACTGTGCGGTACGGGTGAGTGGGGGGGCAGCAGAGCAGGGAGACACCACTGGCCGGGGCCCACCCGGGAGAGGCCTTGGGAAAAGCCAGGCTTGGGGATGGGTGGGAGACAAGAGGCCACTCTAAGAAGGTAGAGCAGCCTGGGTCAAGGAGATGGAAGCTTGCTGAGGCCAGAGAGGTCACTGCGGCGGAGGCAGGGGGTCTGCGGAGTCCCGGGCCCGTGTATCTGGCTCTGTGGATGAGCACGTGTCCGGCTGGGAAGGGGAAGCCAGCAGAGCCTACAGGAGCATCGGCCGCTGCACAGCCGCCGCTGCCGCTGCCTCAAGGTGCCGGGAGAAGCTGGGGGTCGGGAGGCTGAGCTCCCGACAGTGTCACCTCAATGCTTTCCTCCCAGGAGTGGGTGACAGGAGGGCTGTGCAAAGCCCCCGTGGGCTGCGGGGCCAGTGTGGGTGAGGCCGTTGTTATTCTGGAGCTGGGAGAGGCTTACAAAGAGCCTTGAACATGGGGTTGAAGTTGGTGAATTTCCATTCGGCTCCCTGGGCGTCCACGTGTATAAAAAGCAAACCTAAGTGGTTTTCCCTTCCATTCCAAGCAAAGATGAAAGTGTTAAAAATAGCAGGACGGCCCAGACAGGTGCCAAGGAGGACAGAGAGGAGGGGGAGGGGTGCCTTGGTGCTGCGCAGCCGTAGTAACGCGTCCTCTCCCCTAGCAGAGGCCTTGGCTTGGTGATCGCCAGCCCCAGTCCTGGGCACCCAGGGCCCCCGTGAGACAAATGCAGGCCTGAGCCCGAGGGGGTGGCCAGGCTCTTGAAAAACCAGCATCTCTGAAGCCAGCGGCCCCAAGGGAGAGTCCCCAGAACTGCCCCCAAGGCACCTGTGTGAAAAGGAAAGGCGGTGGTCATCCAGCTGGGTCGCCAGCCCTGTGGACTGCACACAGCGTGCGGTACCCAAAGCCAGGGGAACTGAGAAGGGAGGGGAGCCAGGAAAGAGCTTGGCGCCCAGAGGGGGTCCTCGGTGAAGCCTTGCCAGGACTCTGTTTACCAAGGAGCCATAGCCCTAGACCTGCTCCCACCCTGGGACCTGGGACTCAGTGGTGTCCCAGTCAGGGGAGCCTGCAAGAGCATCTCACTGTGCTTCCAGAAGGTCCTGGAACGTGGATTCACACCCGAAATCCATGTGTTCAGGGGACCTTCAAAACGTTCATAAAAAATGTGTTTTATGAAAAAACATGCATGGGTTTTGGAATTCTTGTACCAACATAATCTTATATTTTAATTCCATTTCTGTCCCCTTATGACGTATGGCACAGAATTACTCTTGCACACATATCCACAGTAACAGGGGATGAGTTACATAGCAGCTCATAAAAAATCACAATTTTAAGGCCGGCGCCGCGGCTCACTAGGCTAATCCTCCGCCTTGCGGCGCCAGCACACCGGATTCTAGTTCCGGTTGGGGCGCCGGATTCTGTCCCGGTTGCCCCTCTTCCAGGCCAGCTCTCTGCTGTGGCCAGGGAGTGCAGTGGAGGATGGCCCAGGTGCTTGGGCCCTGCACCCCATGGGAGACCAGGGTAAGTACCTGGCTCCTGCCTTCGGATCAGCGCGGTGCGCCGGCCGCAGCGTGCTGGCCACGATGGCCATTGGAGGGTGAACCAACGGCAAAGGAAGACCTTTCTCTCTGTCTCTCTCTCTCTCACTGTCCACTCTGCCTGTCCAAAAAAAAAAAAAAAAAACACACAATTTTAGAGTATGAAATAAAATGAGAACAAACTAATATATTTTTTAAAAATTCATATATTCAAAAATCAGAGTGACACAGAGAGATCTTGAAAAGTAAAAATGTAACAATACGTACACAGCTGGCTCTCTACATCTGTGGGCTCTCATCCACGGATTCAACCAAGGGAGGATCAAAAATATTTGGAAAAAAAAAAAACATATGGATGTGTACTGAACACTTACAGAACTTTTCTTTTGGTTGGTATTCCCTAAGTAATGGAGCATCACAACTGTTTACTTAGCATTGACAACTATTTATATAGCATCACAACTATTTATTTAGCATTGACAATGTCTCCTGTATTGTGGAGGTGGTTGAGGGCGCACACAAGGGTCGCTGGGCTATGTGCAGATGCTGCACTGTTTCATGGAGGAGACTTGAGCATCCGCACAGTTTGCTATCAGCCTGAGTCCCTGGGCCAGTTCCCTGTAGGGTACCAAGGGACAGCTGCCACTGGCCAAAAATGTGTGACCATACAAAAACATTAGAAAGACTGCAAGCCTCTGGCCTCCTCCTTAGAGAGAACTTCTGTTATTTTTTTTAGGTATCTTTCTGAATATACACTCTTTTAAAACAAATACATCCATCCTACAATCCTCTGACATTCCTCAATTAAAAATATATAAGCATATATAAGCATAAGTCTTAGAGATCTTCCTGTATTAGTGCATAAAACCTTCATAGCCGCATTCTAGTCCATGGTTTCTTTACACACGGTTAACCACCCTGCTATTCGTGGCCATTGTCTCGCCTTCCTGTGTTTTGCTGTGAGCTTGTTGCAGTGAGCATCTCAGCGTGGTGTCTGCTCTCCTGCATGCATGGAAATCTGCATGGTAAAGATGAATTTGATAGACACCACGTGTTATTCACTCATCGACAAATATTTAATGAATGCCTGCTCTGTGCCAGGTGCTGTTAGATGTGGCTCCATTTTAAAATGTACAATTATAAAAGATATCGCACACGCAAAATGATCCCAAACAGGCATAAAAATGCACGCCTCTGTAAATGTGTGTGTAGGTAAGTGGGCGTGGTCCCTGCCTCCTGGGCTCTCTACATGTGGCAGGGCAGACACATGCGTGTGGCACAGCAAGGATCAGTGCTGTTGGAGCTTCCAGTGTGGTCTCTGGCACACGGTAGGGGCCAGAGTGAATGGAGGGGGTCGGCCGCCCAGGGAGCCTGGCCTCTGAGCTCAGCCTTTGGTGCTGAGCAGTGTTGGCAGCCGGGGACGTGGCACGCGGTCGAGGGGCTGGTCAGACAGAGGCAGAGGGGGGACTCAGCTGGCGCGTCAGGGCCCCACGAGTCACCGCGCTGTGTGTGTTTCCCCAGTCCCGTTCCATCGGCCTCAACCCACTCTACGTCATGCTCCCCTGCACTCTGAGCGCCTCCTTCGCCTTCATGCTGCCCGTGGCCACCCCACCCAACGCCATCGTGTTTGCCTACGGACACCTCAAGGTTTCTGACATGGTAACCGAGCCGCGATGCCGTGATCGGGGCGGGGGGGTGCCCTGTGTCCGGAGGGGGCGGGCGTTTCCACAGGGTGTCCTATGCTGTGGGAGTGAGATGGAGCGGGCAGACCTATGCTCATCATTGGCATGGATAGTGCGGCTCTCGTTCCTTCTGGAATCGATCTGCAGCGTGCTGGACTGTTGTGTGTCGGAGTGAGGTCGTGGCACGTCCCCTCAGACAAGCCCTGCGCCACGGGAGCCCTCACTGAGCACTTGCGGGGGAGGGGGGGCAAGGACAGACTGCACAGACAAGCAAGGACCCATGAGGCTTAGACTGGGAGCAGTGCCCATGACAGTCAGACCTGGAGGGATGCCTCAAGAGGTAGAAGCCGTGAAAGGAGAGACCGCGGCTGGGGAGTGGATGACGCCTTGGCGACAAATGCAGGCAGAGGAAGAACTCTTGATGCCGGTTCGGTTTGATCGCCTCTGTGGGATGGGGGAGGGGCACGCGTGTGAGCCGGGAGCTCAGGAAGCAGTCGGGTGTTGGTTACCCTAGAGCCCCTGCTCGCTATCTGTGTGACTCCAAGGGGGATTTTCACAAGCAGAGGGTGAGTCCTGGAAGCTTCGGGCTGCACAGCTGACTGCAGTCCAGGAAGCGAACACGCAGGGAGGTCTTGAGCGTTAGCAGCCCCAGCGCTGCCGCTGTCTCCCTGCGCTCCCCTCGGCCCTGGCCCCACGTCACCTCCCTGGGGTCATTTTCCTGCCGCACCAACGGGCATTGAGAACCCCTGCATCCCGCCTCCTTCCCTCCTTGGAGCATCCGGGATACTTAGTGGTCTTGTTGCTTTATCTGGGGATGGGGGCCCAGGGCGGGATGCAGAGCTTGGCCCCAGGACTGGGAAGCCCAGCAAAGCACCGACTCCCATACCCAGGAGGGTGCTGACTCTGCCCCTGTTTTTCTCATTCCAGGTGAAAACAGGACTGATGATGAACATAATTGGAGTCTTGTGTGTGTTTTTGGCGGTCAACACCTGGGGACGGGTCCTGTTTGACTTGGACCGGTTCCCCGACTGGGCTAATGTGACCCACGTGGAGACTTAGGGAGAGGGGCGGGACCACAGCCACGGCCACGCCCTCCGAGGACTAGCGAACCTTCCGGCACGCCTTGCACAGAGTTTTGGGGTTCCCACCCCAAAGTGACCCAGTGATGTCCACACCCCACCAAGACCCTGCCAGCAGGCCGCCTCTTCCCCCAGGCCTGGGTTCAGAGCCAGGGATGAGTGGCTGGAGAGCAGGTTTGGAGAGATTGGAGCCCCTCACAAGGCCAGGGGCCCCATCTTTTCCAGGCCCTGCCACCGTCTCTGGAATGAGCAGGCAGCAGAGGGACCGGGACGCGGGCTCCTGTGCCCCCTCAGCCTGGAGCAGCCACCACACTGGCCCACACTGGGCTCCGGTTTCTACTCGCTTAGTCCCAGGCGGTGTGAACAGGGAGCCGATGCCCAGGTTTGGGGCTGAGAAAATCCACGGGTGCCTGCACCTCCTCTGCTCACCTTGGGCTGCCTCAAGTCACCTCCGTCGCCGTGCTGGGGACGACCCAGCCAGGGACAGGCCGCGGGAGCGGGGGTCTGCCCTTCCTGGAGACTCGGGGAACCCTGTCTGGTGCCACCAACAGAAGGATGAGGAATCTGTACGTGAGGCTTGTCTTCCCGCAGCCCAAGGCTGGCCCACTGCTCCCCGCCTAACCTCACTGCATCTCGCTTGACCATTTGGACCCTTGCCCAGCTCCCCAGCCTCCCTCAACTCCTAGGTCCCCTGGTTGGGAGGGCAGCATTGGCTGAAAACCCTGGCCGGGGTTCCCAGGGTCCTGCTGCTCTCCCAGGTAGGTCGTTGGAGCTCTTCTGGGAGGTGCTTTTCCACCACCCCTCTGGAGCCAGCCTCACACTCACTCCGAGGATGGGCAGGGATGGCCTTTTGGAGGCCATTGGGGGGGGTCTCGGTGCCCCCTCACCTGCATGCAGAGTAGACACAGCTGTTGGTGCATCTGTCCCAGAGTTTGAGCTCCTATGAGCAGAGCCTGCCCTTAGTCGCCTGGCGGTTGCTGCCCTGCCTGGTGGCAACCGAAATGAACAGACAGCCCTGCCTGGGAGCGAACCCCTCCAAAGTGGCCGAGGCAACAGCCGCAGGGCGGAACACAGAGACCTGGGAGACAGCCGGCCTCCTGCCCCTGGAGCCCATTCTCTCTCCTTCTGGGAGCAAGGCGGTGACGTGTCGGGCAGGTCCACGGCTGGAATTTTCAGGGCAGGAGAACACACGGGAACCTGAGCTAACCCCAAGTGTGGACCTGGTTCCTGACCACACCGCTGAGGTCTCCTTCTCGTTAAACATTCTGTCTCCCATGGAAAATTCCGCTGTGCAGACTCGTCTCTGGTTTTCTGCCGTGTGGGGGGTGGGGCGAGGTAGATGAAGGAATGCTTTGGTGCTTCGGTCTGGGTCCTGGGTCCCGGGCCTTCCTGGTTATTTCACTGGATTGTTGCAACCTCGTGGGCTAGGCAGGGGTTACTGTTGCCCTTTGTCTTTCAAGAACTGGGAGGCTCAGGGAGGCTGGACCACGTGCCCTAACTCACAGTGAAGGTTCCAACAGAGCTCTTCCGACCCCCTGCCTGCTGTGCCTTCCTCTGGCCTTCCAGGGCTTGTAGGAACGGGGAACTGCCAAGGACAAGGCCACTGCTCAGCCCTGCCTGCTTGGTGAAGGTCTCCATCCACAGGTGCCTCCATAGCTCTGCTTTGCGATGGGCTCGAGACAGTATTGAATTAGATGGCAGAGGTCCCAGTTCTCAGAAACAAAGTAATTGGGAGAAGGTTCTGGAAATGGCTGCCCACTCCCCCCCACCCCCACCACCACCAAGGCAACCCTATGGCTCCCTGGTTACCCATCCTCTGTCTCTGCTTCCCACACCACTGCTGTTGGTTGGTGTGCCCCGCCAGGCTGAGGGCTCTGACTGCCTGCTGGGCTTAGGGGCAGCAGTGTGGCTGACCCAGAACACGGCATAGGTATGACCGATAAAGGAAGAATTGACCGGTGTGATCAATGAGGCACACACTTGCGGATAGCAGGCAAGGTCAGTGAAGGTCAACCAAGGTGGGCGTTGAAGGATCAGGAGGTTGGGCAGGGTGACGGGAGGGTTTGGCGGGACGGGTGGAATTCCAGCTTGGGGGAGGAGGACAGAACTCCCAGCCCAAGGTGCTGAGCAAAGGCTGTTCTGAACAACTTCTCTGGCACTTGGCTGGAGTCGGCGCCGTTTATGGCATTTGCCAATTCAGAACGTCTTTGCAAATACGGAACTCCCAGCAGACGGTGGCTCCAAGCATAAAGCTGTTGCATGTTTACTTAAGAGAAGTCTGGAGGTAGACGGTCCAGCAGCTCTGGCTGCCGAGGACTTGGGCTCCACATTCCACTCTCGTCTGCAGGGGACCACACGGTGCCCCTCAGGCTCCATGCACATCTGTGCTCCCTGGAGGCAGGCAGAGGTTCAGGGCCCATCTCAGTCGTATCGCACGGTAAGAACTCATTCAGAAGCCTCAGACTTCTCTTGGTGTCTTATCAGCCAGAGGCGGTCACGTCCCCACCCCTAGACCCACCATTGACAAAGGGGAGTTGGACTGCCTTAAGACCTTGAAGCCTCATTCATCTCTTCGGTTAGGGAATTGGCCCAAGTTTCCTGAACGCAAGAGATTTCTACGACTACAGACTCTAGGGTTCTGGCAGGAAAAAGGACAGGAGTTGTGGGGTAGGGGATGAGCAGGTCTGGGATGGTCTCTCCAGGTGACCCCGGGGACTCCCTTTTCCGATTTCAGAATGTGTTTCCAGGTGGGAAGAGAGCAGGTGGTTGTCCAGTCAGGAGCTTTAGCAGTTCCTCCTGGGGCCACTGTCCTGGGAGGCTAGAGTCGGGCCTAGGAGCAAACTCAGCCCTGCCTCTGGGCTCAGCTTCCATCACGCAGGGCCTGGACTAGAGGGTGTCTTAGGGTCTCCCCCAGAGTCACAGAGCCCCTTCCTCTCTGCTTGGGCCAGGTGCAGCCCTCCGTCCCCACCCCCTGTGCTGTCTCAGCTCAGAGCCTGTTCCTGGGGCCTGTTCCCTGCTCCCAACTGAGGCTTAGCCACTTGCTGAAGTCCATCCAAGCCTCTGGCCCACCTGTGACCTGTGATTGGCCTCTTACACTTGGCAAAGAGGTTCTACCCTGCCCTCGAGTTCTCGCTGTCTCCATCAGACATTTGGGCTGGAGGTTGGCTGAACACAGAATTCTGACGAGGACTGCTCTCAGGTTTTCTCCTGGGGACTTGTGACTACAAGAATTCTGTGCATTCCTAAGGTCAAGTTGTTGGGGCAGCGTTGTCCTCAGATCCCTGAATCAAGAGCTCCTGGGGGCAGGCCACAGGTCTCCCGAGCTGAGAGCTTCCTTGGGGAAGGCCCCGGACCTCCCTCTCTGGCGGAGCCAGTGAGCCAGACGTCCACCTGGGGCAGGTGCAGTCTTTTTTCCTCCTCCCCATTTCTTAGAGCCCAACAACAGGCTTTTGTCTGGACTCCAACCAGCTTGTCAGCTCACTCGCATAGAGTCCAGTCCTGGAGATGAGTAAGATCCTCGATGCCATGTTCTTGTTTAGGAAAGTAAGGACCAAGTATTGGACCATCTGGTTAAAGGCTACCTCTGGCCCTCCTCATCAGCTCAGATCCCTTCTTCCAGGTACTCCCGTGACCTCTTAAAAGCCTTGTCTCCCAACCTACCAGGGAAACGTTTTATTTATTTACACTCAAAAAAATTAAAATAAATGTTTTACTCAGATAACTCCTCCAGGCCACCAAGTGAGCTTTGACATTATTCAACTGGAAGCTTGTTTTGGGGGCTGAAGTCTTTGCAATTGGATATTCAGTTTATTTTCCCTGGTGTCCTGAGCCAGGACTTGGGTACTCATTTTTGTGCCCCAGGAACATGCTCCTGTCTTCTTCCCTGATCTGCTTGTCCACACGCCCGCTTCCACTGGCAAGAGCCAAGGCCTCCTGCTGTGGCAGTGCCATCCCTGCCTCCAGCTATCAAGGGTAGAGAAATGGGAAAATGCAACCCCATGACACCCTGTTGCCCAGTGGAGAAACATTTACTAGGTTTTAAAGTTATCCAATATGAAAACAAAGAAGTTCCAACAGTGCAGAGGCATTGAAATGCCCTCCCGCCGCTTCCTCGAGTGCTCCAGTTTCCTCCACACCCTATAAATGTCACGCACACAGATTCTGTGCTGGCTGTGTGGGTCTGTCCCCTTTGCTGCACATGGAACACACCAACCACAGTCTCTGTCCCTGTCTCTGCCTCCACCCTGCTTCACAGTTTATTTGGAGGTCAATCTATTTCAAGGTGTGTTAAGTTTGGTTGTTTTTTTTTTGTCCATTCAGTAGTTAATTTGAGGTCAAAGTCAGCCTCTTGCACAGATCTTGAGTGTACAATCCGATGATTTCGAAAACTGCATGTACCGTGTGAGCAATGCCCCAGTTCCGTCTCTGTCCCCTGGACAGTGCTCCCTGCCTCCTCTGGTAAGCTGCACCTCTTACTGGCAGCCACGTCCTGTTGTCACCCCCGATTGCTTTTTGTCTGTTGAACCTCACATAATTGGAATTTGTGTCCGATTCATGTTGCCTATGAGAATACGTTTGAAAGCTGTTCCTGCCATGCCTTCATTCCTTGTATTGTTGTTGCTAAGTAGCGCTCATAATTTATGTTTTCCTGTTGGTGGACATTAGGGCTGCTCCGGTTAGGGGCGCTTTTAAATAAAACTGTTGTAAACCCCTGTATAAGTCAGTCTGTGGACATGTTTTCGAGTCTCTTGGGTGTGTGTGTGTTCAAGCTTGCAGTGGTGTGCCCTGAGCAGGCACTGCGGAACAGAGAGGTCCCCAGTGTGTGGCTAACGCCGCCCGGTGCGTGTCTGTGCATACCTCTTTGTGCACCGTGTGGGAAGCTCAGTTCCCTGGCCTGACTTGCTAGTCGAGGTCGTGCGTTTAAATCTGGGTCCCTTCCCAAAGGCGGGGCCCAGGGGCATCCTCAAGCACTGGAGTGAGACTTGGCTTTGGCCCACGCTTGGCGGCTCTGGGAAGAATCACGTGTTCACGCGTGGCTCAGCCGACAGTGGAAAGTGCCATCTCATCACTTTCACGTGCGTTTTTTTTTTTTTTTTGTTTGTTGTGTTATGTTTTGTGTTTTGCCAGGCAGAGTGGACAGTGAGAGAGAGAGAGAGAGAGAAAGGTCTTCCTTTTGCCGTTGGTTCACCTTCCAATGGCCGCTGCGGCCGGCGCGCTGCAGCTGGCGCACCGCGGCTGGCGCACCGTGCTGATCCGAAGGCAGGAGCCAGGTGCTTCTCCTGGTCTCCCATGGGGTGCAGGGCCCAAGAACTTGGGCCATCCTCCACTGCACTCCCTGGCCACAGCAGAGAGCTGGCCTGGAAGAAGGGCAACCGGGACAGAATCCGGCGCCCCGACCGGGACTAGAACCCGGTGTGCCGGCGCTGCAAGGCGGAGGATTAGCCTAGTGAGCTGCGGTGCCGGCCAAAACCTCTTTATATATTAAGAAAATACCCATTTATCTGTCACAGGATTATGTATAAAAATATATCCATTATAATAAAATAAATGTATTTGTATAACACGTGGTAAGAACCGGGGAGGCTACTCTCTCTTTCTTCATTGTCATTCTCCACCCCAGCTGTTCTCACGTATTTTTCCATAAGAATTTCTGAATCAGCTTCTCCAGTTCCAGTTGGCATTCACCCTTCTGGCTGCATCTCCTGCTTCTCTGCCCCTCACTCCCCGCAGGGGTTCTTGACCTCAGCATGATTGACATCTTTCCACCGAATAAACCTCTGTTGTAAGGGGCTCCTCTCTGCGCTGCGGGACACCAAGCTGCACCCTGGCTCCCACTTACTCCAAGCCAAGAGCAGCCTTCCCCTGCGTCTGTCTCCAGGCACCGCTGAACATTCCGTGGATGGCAGAACTGCCCACCGTTGAGATCCAGTGTCGCCGTCTGGCCAAGCCACACAGGCCTCCTTGCTGTTCAGGGTATGCAGTGTCCTGCCTGGCCTTAACCTTGGCTTACAGGGACTCGCCAGCCGGTTTTCAATGGCCCCTGCCCGCGTGCCCCCGTTCCCCGTGGCTCTTTTCTTCTTCCCACATGCTCTGTTGTTCAGGTCCCAGCCGGGTCCATCTCTGCTCTGTCTCTGGGGCCGTTTTCCCCACGAGGGCAGCAGTTTCTGTCTTATTTCCTCCCATGTGTCCTGTGCCCAGAACACAGTAGGTGCACAAGTGCTGGGTGGATGAATACATCAGAAGAGATTTGTAGGTTAGGTTAGGTGAGAAATGTTATTTTCACAATATTGTTTCATCACACACACACACTGTTTTTCCTTATATTAAAATTCTTGCCCGTCTTCCTGTGAAGTTTCAAAGCCCCTTACAGATCAGAAGTGTGAACGGCTTTCTGTCGTAGATGTGTGCCTAGCATGGTCTTTGTCCTCTTTCCTGCCTGCTTTAAGGGGCCCAGGACGGGCTGTCTCCAGGGGCCAGGCCCCGGTGACTTCCACAGTCAGGGTGACCTGCAGGCCTCAGCCCCCTGCCCCTTCCCCATCACCCAGCCCAGCGGGAGGGTCTCAGCCTTGTCTGCTGGGGCTCCCCAGGTGTCCCCCCTGCCCACTTTCTCCCTGAGGAGCTCCAGTCAAGGGACCTGGTCTACAGGACCACCCCGCCAAAGGGGTCCTCCCGAGACCCCCAGTGCAGGCCCCAGCAAGGTGTCCTGTGGCTTTTCCTGAGCTCACCTTGCCTGTGAGAGGGGCCATGACCCCCTACTCCCTCCCCGTCTCCTCAGAGTGTCTGAGGGCAGAGGACACACGTGGCCAGCAGGCTCTTCCAGATGGGCCAGTCCCATCCAGGCCACCAGGGCAGGTGTGGTGGAGAGACTCGGAGGCACGGCCAGGCACTGGACTCTGCCGCTTGGGTGTGCTTGGGGTCTGAGAAGCGAGCACAACCCCGCCAAGGTCTGAGCACTATCTCCCGGCAGCCCCTGCCCTGTGGTGCCGCACCGCCCCAGGCCCACTCCTGCGTGACCCCGACTGCACACAGGGCGCCCTTTGGGCCACGCGGCCACTCTTTGTGGGTTAAGTGCACATGGGGCAAGGTTCCACCCGGGAGGCGAGACCAGCCTCTGACTGATGGTGCAGAAAGTGCTGGCCCCAGCCCAGCCAGGGCCGCGCTCCGAGCGAGCGTCGTCTGCGGGCAGGTCCCGGCTGCCTGGGAGGTGGCGGGGAACAGGCCTCTGCCCGCTGCGGGGCTGCGGTGGTGTCCCGCGGTTCACCACTTGACATTTATAGCTACAGGCTTCTCAGCTGACTGTCCCTGCGGTGGGAGGCCTGGCTCTCTCTCGGGAAACCGCGGCTGAGGGCGCACGAGATTCCCAGGACGGCGAGCCCAGCCCCCAGCCCTCAGTCTCTTTCCAGAAGGTGGCAGAGCTGGAGGGAGCTGCCAGGACACTGAGGGGCCCCAGGCCCCCTGGCCCCGAGGCTGGTGGCCCTGGGGAGCCGGGGCCTTGCTGGAGAGCCAGGCATTCCTTAGGGTTCAGGTGACTCCTGAAACGCGGAAGCAGGTGGAGGTGGTGAGGGTGCCTTGTGAGGCTGGGAGAGGGGCAGACGCCGCCAACACAAGCCCCCCTGGTGCCTCTCTCAGAGCCTGCAGCTTCTCTCCTGCTGCCCAGGGCCGAGGCAGGCCCACCTGGCCGCTTGCAGGAGTACGGCTGTGTCGCCTGGACCTGAGTGGGGTACAGGTGGGAGCTGCCAAAGCTGCTGCTGCTCCCACACCCAGGTTTCCTTCCCTGCTGGGTTTCCCAAGGCCGGTCCTGTGCCTTCGCCCTCTCAGCAGGTGACGCTGCCTTTGGTGGGCTTTAGGGATGGAGGTGAGTCGTCTGAGCGCCGGCAGCCTCGGGGGAGCCAGGCCCAGAACCCAATCCTTGAGTCCGCAGCCCCTCCTCTTTCTGCTGCACCCCTGGGAGCCCCGTGAGGTGTCTGAATCAGGGAGTGGGGCCCTGGGGGCCTGACCCTGAGCTGGGAGAAGCAGGGCCTGGCTCCTGGGCACCCACGTATCCACCTGCTGTGCCCCGGGCATCCCTGGGGGCAGAACCTGAACACACAGGCTCCCCGCCTGCACCTTTTCCCTGTGCTCCCCAGGCCCCTCTGCCTGCAGGGTCTGGGAAGTGGGGAGGTGGGAGTCGGGGGCCAGGTTCTGGCCTTCTGGAAGCTCACACCCTGAGTCCAGGGAAGCCCGGGAAGCAAACTGGGGAGGGGTGAGAGGAGGGGGGAGGGACGCACCTTGAGGAGGTGAGGCTGGAGGGCTACTGCCTAAAAATGGAGCTGAGTGTTGTATAAATAGAACACCTATTGGGTGTGTTTCCTTTTCAGAGTCGGGATTTATTTCAGCGTTCCCTTCTTCAGCAAACACGCCCAGCATGCCAGCCCTCGGCGGTTTCAGCCCGTGACACGGGCAGGCGGCTGGCTCGGTCATGGTGTCCTCGGTTTGGGCCTGCAGCCGTGGGCTGTATGTGTATGTGTGTGGTGGATGCGGCTGCAAAGAGCGATTGGGTTCTGCATTCCCTGACCTCTGCCAGATGCCTGGTCAGTGCTGACAAACAGGGCCACAGGGATGCCCTCCAGGACACAACCACCGCCCCCCCCCACCCCTCCCAGGAGAGTATAGGAAAGGAAGGGGTTAACCCAGCCTGCAGGAGTCAGGGAAGGCTTCACAGGTTGGAAGCAGAGTTTTGAAGACAAACTGGAGGTTTTCAGACTGTTCCTTTTTTTCATTTGTTACTGAGCATCTACTATGTGGAGGACACGGGCAGCCTGGCAGAGCCTAGGGGGGAGAGTCCCGAGGGCAGTGGCAATGTGGTGCCTCACCGTGGACGTGGATGAGATGCATCAGGGCTGGAGGAGCCCCACTGTGTGGAGCTGGCTCATCTGTCCCGAGCTTGGCTGGGGCAGGGGAGTGCTGTACACAGGGGAGGACGCACACTAGCACACAGGTACTGGGATTGGGCTTCCTCAGGCCCGTGTGCTTAGCAGGTTGCCCGAGGGCCTAGGACCCCCGTGAGGCCAGCCAGGCCAGGAGTGTGGATGGGCATGGGCTTCGGCGGTGTCTGGGCAGCCTGGTACCAGCTCTCACTCCTTCACTAGGGGCTGGTTGGCCCCTGAGGTCCAGGCCCTCGCGTGTCACATGGAAACCGTGCTGACACACATCACACCGGCCTGGCAAGGTGAAGTGGGGATGGTGTGAAGGCCCTGGGACAGAGCTGGGCCCTGTGGTCACCAAGGAAGGGAAGGTGTTGTGCCTCCTGGCTGGGCTGCAGGGAGGCGGCACAGGGCCTGGGAGAGCTCTACCCTCCCGGCCCCACTGGTGCTGCAGGTACATGAGCAGGGATCTCATCCTGCCCTTGCTCTGGCTTTGGTGTCATCGCGGGGCTGAGAGGCGGTGGCCTCTGGTGGAGCAGCTCTGGGGAGACCTTAGTCACAGGGCTGTGTGCATGAGCCCGGCTCTTCTGATTAGTTTTCCCTTCCTTCATTCCTTCCCTCCTCTCCTCCTCCCCCTCCCCCTCCTTCCCCTCTCTCCAGTGCCCGCCTGTCTGTGACAACTGCACCGGAAGATCAGGGCCGGGGGACAGCCCTGTTGAGACACATTCCTGGGAGCGGGGGCTGCTCCCAGGACAGGGCTCATCTCTGCTCTCCAAGGCCCAGGGCTCAGGCTGGGCAAAGCTGTAGCATCCCGGG